ATAGTTGTACCATAAGAATATATAGATAATATTAGTCCATCAATAGGTCTCAAAGCTACTCGCAATTTAATTTTTGCTAGGATATAACACTGTGGACAACATTAATGCAACTTCTTGTGTGTCAAGTATTTTTTTCTTTATGATCAAAGTACAGCAACGTCTCTACCGAAGCTAATCTTTTCTGTCCAGCTTAGGTCCAATGGGTTTTACTTGTTCCGAGAACCTGCAGGTTGTTTCTCCTCGTTTCTTCAGCTATTTGATTGGTCCTCTCTGTCTCCCACATTATCCTGACATTCCATGTACCTATATTATTCGTTGCTCTGATTGTTAGAAGGGGTATCGTCGTCGTGAAGAATCTTGGTTTTCGCCATAAAACATCGTATTTCTTCTACAGGAAGATCCGTCAACTCCCAGGACAGAGTTTAAATGGTATAAGTGATTTTTCCTGGATGGTGTTTTTTACGGATGAAGTTGCAGACCCCCTACCAACCCTTCCTCCTTTATCCTAACTTGGGACTGGCATTTACCTTCGAAGGTCTACAGATGGAGTTAATGTAAGACATACTATAAACATATTACAGTGATTACTTGTTCCAGTTCTTCCGTGATATCTATTTTATTTTCATCATGAAATCACCAATTATTTTATCTCTGAAGAAATGACACTTCAGTCCTCCAACGAAAAGAATACTGGTCCTAATATCTTGCATCTTGTGGCTGTCAACAGTGGAAAAACCAAATATATCACTCTGTATAATATCATAACCACGATACACCATAATCAGATGATATCTCAATAAATTCTTTTTTCCCAAAAAAGCAACTACCACTAATTAAATCTTATCAGGCCTAGAGAGTAATAATAACCTTAAAGTAATGCTGTTCATAACAGTGTTGCGAGACAAAAAACAATTTCACTATCTAACAAACTATTTAATTCATTAAGGTTTATTCGGCATCTATCATTTTACAAAATGCAGGTAGCGCTGTAGTGATGCCGTTCACTTAATTACTTATTTTTTTCATACACTACTTATTAAAGAGAACTTTTCACTTAAAAGATTGATGAAAATCACGTTATACATTTCGAAAATAATGCTGTGCTCTGAATTTGTTGCACCTTAGATTATGAATTTAACTTTGATTTTATGTTCTACAATATTAAAATGTTTGTGATAAATGCTCATTAAAAATAATTTATGAATCATGTCCTTAAAAACAATGAAACCTTATATTTTCTAGATAATCCCTCTCCATTTATATTAACCTGATCATATCTGTAAATTGATGTGCATTTAACAATTATTTATAGAATCAGCTATCATCATCCTCAATATTGCAAAGCTACAAATGTAGCCTGATACAATCTATTTAAAATGATGAATTCAAAGGTTTAATACTTACATTTAAAGCTCAATTCGATTTATTGTTTATATAATTTTGTCTTAATTATATAACTTGCAACTAGACGGTTTGGATTTCGCAGATGATCTAGCTCTTTTATCTTATACACAGTAACAAATGCAGGTGAAGAAGACCAGTGGGAAAGAAGTCTCTGTATCAGTAGGCCGCAACATACACAAGAGAAAAAGCAAGATCCTCAAATACAACACAGAGAACACCAACTCAATCATACTTGATGGAGAAGCTCTGGAAGAGGTGGAAGCTTCCAAGTATCTGGCTTTCATCATTGATGAACAAGGATGATCGGATACAGATGTTAAGGCATGAGGACAGCATTCATACGAGAGAAGAACATATAGAACTCAAAACAACTATCAGCCAACGTAGAAGTCAGAATCTTCGATACAAACGCCAAGACAGTTCTACTGTACAGAGCTGAAAATTACAGAACTACAACAACCATCATCAAACATGTACAGGTATTGATAAACAATTGTCTACGCAAGATACTCAATATCCATTGACTACATACGATCAGCAACAGTCCACTGTGGTAGAGAACAAATCAGCTTCCAACTGAAGAGGAAATAGAACATACTTTGCAGAAATCATGAAACTTGTTCACGAGGTGATCCATAATATGGAATGCTGACCGGAAGAGGAAAGAAGGGAGACCGAGGAACACGTTGCATCGAGAATCGGAGGCAGCCATCAATAGAATGGATGGCAACTGGGAACAACTGGGAAGGACAGCCGATGACAGAGTATGTTGGAGGATCCTGATGGACGTCTTATGCTCCTCCACGAGGAGTAACAGGCATAAGCAGGTATTATATAACTGTTAAGTAGCTACACTTGGCATTGTTTACTTGAATCTTCCCATTGATGTTTAGGACTGCAATTGATTAGGCGCATCCAGATGACGAGTCCCAAATAGGACGGAACGCGCGTCCTTGATTCCACTGTTAACCATTATCTATATTTGCTTGTTAAGTAACCAGATTATATATATCTATATTCCATTTATCATAAGCTTTTATTTGACCTATTGACTACTATTATACGATTTACTATTTTCCAGTTATTCGCAATGTATTAGTTACAGCCTGGTTTGCTTGTATACAAACTACGTATGTCTGGAATATACGATTCATACAGTGGATGCTGAGATATTGTTTTGGACTCTCACGGACAGGACTGGGCAGGAAGAACTAATAAGGGCTTAGAGTCGACACCAGGCTGCTCTTACTGAACAACGCATCCTTGATTTGGTACAGTACCAAGGTCATATCAGTCGTGTTCTAATTGGCGAATTAGACACGTCATAATTAACAGGCCAGAAATCATAACAATTTTACCTCAATCCAATCATCACTAAAAATTGGGAATATTGAACAACTACCTGGTTTTATTCATGGATTTATTAACTTCAATCACTCATGACGCTACCTCCAAAGTAAACTCCTACAACCGATAGTCTCGCTGCTTACAACCCCAAACCCATATAGAAAATAAAAGTTTCAAGGGCTTTTCCATCTGAAAAATAATTCATTATTGATACACGTTTGACAATTTGATTTCAATTTTTCATATCCTAAAAAATAAACAAAGTTCATTACAGTTGTAACCGGAGATCATTTGTAAATGAGATCGAGTATAGTTTGCTTTTTAGCGAAGGGAGTTGAGAATATGTAGATATTTTAATTGTATAATAAATTTCATTCTTTTTTCTTTTTTAAAAAAAATACAAAGACCAAAATTGGGTAAATGAGTAAAACAATAATTTCCATTTTAAAAAACAAAACAAGACAAAATACCTAGTGCATTGAGACCGGGATTGAAAAACAATATTTCTAATATTTTTGCATAGAAGTACTAAATGATTTTACCAAAAGAGCAATATCAAAATAAGTACAAAGGTAAAGAATACATAAATAAGGATTTGGAGCAGAAGTAACACTGTGTTACGTAATATTACCATAATTGAAAAATATTTTGACATTTTGTATGTTCAATTAGCTTGGATTGATATCTTATTCCATTTTGGTCTTTTAATAAAAATGTTTCTCTGTATATGGTTTAATGAAAGGTTTATCAAACTTTGTAGTTCATTCAAATAATTCTTTCCAATGAATGGTCATAAAGGTTTATTTGCAAAATATTGCAAGATATTGTGAATACAGTTATGTATTTCAGGAGAAACTTAACATAGTAATATCCTAAAGTTAAATTATTTGAGATGTACATAAACTAAATTTAAGTCGAGGTTACTTACCGGTTTTGTTTGAATCATATTTCTAGCCTTTTGGAAGATGAATCTTGTCTACATTACTTTCTACAACTAAATAATAGACAGTAGATAACAAGAAGACAGGCTTAGTATCTGATGAATATCCGGTTTAATAAGTGATCACATAAGCATCTGATGTTGTCACTCAAAGCCTCAGGGGTCTGTTATTGCGTATCTGTCGTTATTAATGCTGAATATAATACTTTCTGGATCCCTTATGATATACTGGTTCCAATTATTCATTTAATAAAATTCTACTTTCCATAGATTGCTTATTCATAAAGGACTGAAATAATCTAGGAGACAAGTGAAGACCAGAGACACTTGACAGTACTTTTGTTCTTGTCTAGAACGTATTAACAGTGCTAACCAACAGACACGCTAGAGATCGGACCCAGAATTTTCTCAGTGATACAACCATAAGCAATGTAGAACCTAGAACATATGCATGGATTTGAGTTGCCACAGCATATCAGCACAACGAGATGCAGTTATCAAGAAAAGTATAAGAGCAGTGGAAGTATCGATATTATGAATGGTACTAGAAAGTATCAAGTGGGTTACCTCTAGGCAACTAAGTACAACTTCAATTTGTATAACCACACCAATTTTCATCCGTAATAGCTTTTCACTTTCGAAATTATTCGGTTTTGTTGACGGCATCATCGTGATTGAGAACAGATGAGGAGTCTCAAACTGCAACTGACAAGTAATTTAGTATCCCCTGGTTTTCAATACTTCACAAGTTGATATCATTCTCTAGCGATATAACCGAACGATATAATCACATTAAAGTAATCTCTATAACGTACTCAAATTTACAAAATCTGCTACCTCATAAACATTTCTATTCAAGAAAGTATGCTTATTGGTTTAAAGCCTAAACAAAATTTATTGATCTATGTTAAACAATCTGTTTGTAACCATGCTATTGACAATTATTTTAAGCACTATATAAACGTGAAAATCATGTGATACTTTCAATGGACCAGGTGATTTTACTTTCATATGTATGTCTGTGTGCATAGATCATTCTATCAAAAGTGTGCTTTTACACTAAATTGTATAAAACATATTGATAGGCTTGATTTCACGTTTCGAAAAGTTATGTATATTGAATAATATTTTGTGTATTAGTGAATAAATAATAAAGATGTTTATTTTATATTTATTAAAGAAGCAATTATATTCGGAATTAAAACTTGAAGTATTGTCAATTTAAATTATTGTTGTATCATAAAACACTTCACTGTGTATCATTATCACATATATGTATGTGTCTTTCTGATGTATATAAACAAATACAATGGTAGAAATGGAAGGAAAATTTGTAAATTCAATGGGTCCATTTGATATTTGTCAAAAATTACATCAACAGCAAAGGTTAGTTATTTATTTCTTTTTTTTAAAGAATTAATAAGATGATTTCCTTTTTTAGCCTATCAATAAAAGTTAAACAAATTTGAATTGGTGACTGAAAATATTTAAATATTTTTCATGTTGAGATTCGGTGCTTTCTCTTAGTTTTTAGACAAGGAATGGTGAGACTATAATTTATGGACAGTCTTTGAGCGGTGCTAAAATGACCTTGATCATTTCCTCCCACTAATTAGGACCGAATGCGGGTTATAAAATAGTTTGAAGAATAAGGATCATGATTTACATTTGATGGTTAGGGTTCGAAATTAGATTTAAGATTTTCATCACGAATTGGCATCAGCTAAAATGCCAATACGCTATTCGGCCAAATGGTTAAATGAATTTCGCACCAAAATTCAAGATCTGTTATCCTAAATCTGATTGGTTCGTCCGTAAATCATAGTCTCACCCAAATGACTTAATTAAAGTGAATTTTTTCTACAGTACACCATTTAGTACTAAAGAATAATAACAAAATTAATGACATGTATAAGAGAACTAGCTTACCGTGGATGTACCGAAGTCTTTATCCAAGAGAATATTACATGTATGTCTGATGTTGAAGATAGAATATTTTACCAAACAATCTTTAGATTTTTTTCAATGTCATCTAAAATAAAATAAACCTGCAAATTCAAATATCTTAATACATTATGAGTTTAATTGGGTATTTATTCCAGTTTTTAATTTTTTGAGATGTGTATTTACTTTCGTTAAAAAATCTTTAAGGATCTCTTTTTATTCTACTGACTCTCAAATGAATACACTAGTTAATATAGACAAATAATATGTTCATTTTACCCATCAATATGCTCCTTTCAAGATTGATTAACACTATCGTTATCAAGAAGGGGTAATATAACATTTCTATGTAAAGACGTTTGTTTAAAATTTGACACAACTACCAGTCACTCATGGTCGCAATATTTACAGATTGATCACTTGGTAAATTTTAACAGAATCATCTTCATTTACATTAAATTCAACTCAATGATGAGATGTCAATAAAATAAAGACAGTCTGCATTAGTATATAACTAAAATTACTCAGTGACTTATTGATTTTTGATCTCTTATATATTTCAATCTTCATGATGTGATGGTGGGTTTATGCATCGGTCTGTTTTGATTTTTAACTTAATTTTATATTGTTATTGTTTAGGACTGCAATTGATCGGTCTCTTATCGGCATGTGTGTATCCTGTGTGAACTGCGTCGATATTGCCTTAAGTCACAAGTTTTATAAGCAAAGATGAATGGTGTCTAGCAGTAGAATCCTGGACGCGTGTTTTATCCTACTTGGGACTCGTCAGCTGGATGTGCCTGCATTCCAGAGTCGAAGCGAACGGCACTGGGTTCGAATCCCAGAGTGAACATCAGCTCTGAGATGCAGGTAGATCCAGATGACGAGTTTAGACTAGTACAAAACGTGCTTTCGAGATTCTACTGCTAGCCGTCATCCATCTTTGTTTATAGAGATTAATATAATGTTTAAAATACAAAATTTTATTTACATCAGCGACACTCTATGATATTATGTTTATCGAGTAAAAGCATTCGTGTTTGTAAATGAACTCTATTACATTGAAAACTTAAATTCTGGAAAATCTTATTCTAAGGTGAACTATACTCAAATAATACATTTCGTCTGTAAATTAATTTTCACTTTGTTAATTTCTTAAATAATTTCATAAAATGGAAACTGATTTCACCTTAATGTGCCAATCAATATCTGATTTTATTTCAATATCATTGAATGTGATATGAATAACATTGAGATGAGAAATAAGAAGTTATCACTGAGTATACGCATGTCATTCAAGTATGTATATGTATAATCATAGAAATGGCATGTTTCTCGTACTGATATTATGTCTCAGTATATCTCAATATCTTTCAAACAATTCGCTATAATAAAATGTTATTAATATGATTATGTGTACAATTATTCTTTGTTTTACTATTTTAGAACTAAACAAAATGATTGTGGTTTTTTATTAGAATGTGAATCACATAGTCAAATAGTGCATAAATGTGTATTACGTGCTGTCTCAACAAAAATTGATCAATTCTGTATGGCAGAAGAAGAAAATGTAGAATGTTCAACTGATAATATTAATATAAATTGTTATGATAACATTAATAATAATAATAATAATAATAATAATAATAATAATAATAATAATAATCACGTTAGTAACACAGTAAAACAATCAAAGAATTCATTTTATTTAGGTCGTATATCTGCGAAAACATTGGATACTTTTGTAAAATATATTTATCAATCAGGTTTGTCTGTGTTTTTTTTTCTTCTTTCAAAAATGGTTATTGATAATATTGATTATTGATTATTGTGAACAACATAAGCACTGCCAATTAATAAAATGGGTTGAAAATATTCTTCTGTATAGGCAGAATGTGACTGAGTTTTTCTTCTTTTTTTATTGTAAAGACTATGATGATGTAATAAGTTAATGTATTCAAGAAACAATTTTAAGTTATTAGATTGTCTTTAATAGCTTAGAAGATGTGTTTTATAATGAGATTGTTATACATGTGATATTTTCAAGGATTTACTAAGTTTCTGAGTGATAGAGGTATCGATTCAAATGAATAATCAATATGATGATTCTATTCACTTGACAATAAAATTCAGTACATTTGAGTTTAGTTAAAAGAAATCCAAGATTCTACTGGTTGATTTTTTTTATTCACAGTGAAAACAATTTGAATGTAGTTGTGGGATAAGTTCCTCTTCAATGTATTTCATTGTATTAATGTCCGTAAGTTCACAAGGTAACTTCATTACTTTTTAGGTTATGATTTTAGATATAATTCCGAAATGCTCTGTAGCTATAACAACAATTAAAATAACTGTCTACCATTCTATTTTTAGCAATCGCAATTTGACATCAGTTCTCTGAAGAATGTAAATATGTTTTACTGATTATTACTAAATAGTATTAACCATGAATACATAGATTTCTATTGACTACGTAGTATCAAATAAAGTAAAGAGTAACATAATTTCATTTACTCTAGTGGATACATTGCAACATAATGTCGATAGAATTTCATCAGCTCTCAGGACAAGACAAACTCCAGTTATTATTAAATACACAATAATTATGAAGTTTATGAGTTTATAATTGTCCTTTTTAAAAACGATTGCGTTCAAATTTGCCAGTATAATGTTTCATTTGGTTATATTATTGATAAATAATAATGGAAAGTAGTAAATTTAGTTAATCTGTGTTATACTTACCTTTAAGGAATTCCAATGTAGAAAGCGTACAGGTTACCTGAGATCATTGAATGTTCATTTTCTGAAATGTAATTCATATTAGCCAGATATTTATTTACAATACTACCTACTTATGACAATCAGATGTTATTCAACTCATCTCTGGAAGTCTTTAGAAGTCATGTTCTTCAGATGCCTTATGTCTCATGTCTCCTCGTCATCTCACTACCTCTGTATCACTCTCTACATGACAGTTTTGTGGTCCAGAAATAAAGAAACAGTATCATAAGATGCTAAATCTGATGAGTAGAGACTTTACGAAATAAGGTTTTCAGTGTCTGAGTTCCAGCATTTATTGGACATAATATGACACAACTTCCAATTACTATTAGTTGAATAAAGACGGGAAAACGTCTTTATATTGTTACAAAATGTTATCCATTTAAGTACAGTGTGATTTATCTTTTGTTTAATGATGTTTACAAATAAAAATCTATTATCTCACTTCATGTATTTTTATTGAAAAAATTTAATAGTTCACTTCATAACTTTGATGTAATTAAACAGATATTAAAATATAATACGGGATGTTGATCTAATATACCTATTTAAGTGTCATATCATTTGTAAACCTACTCCTCAAGTCGTCAATCTCATTAGTTACATAGTTCACAACTCAAATGTTAACTAGAATTAAGTAAAGAAAATAGGTAGATGGAGTTTAACTTTAACATCTGTAATATGAGCTATAAACAGATTTCTTGGTAGAAACATAGGTCACATATGTCATAAGCAGGAAAACGAGAACAAGCAAAACATCTTAGCTAGTTCATTGATCTGATTACTACCGCCAACAAGATCAACGTAACTGAGTAGCTGCAAAATTCTTGAAAGAAGATTAATAATCCTAGCCTTATGAGGACACCTTAAAGTGAGTATTTTATTTTTAAAGGATTTTTTCGTACTCCAGGGTGTCAAAAATAGGTAGATTATAAGTGTTTTAGTGGTTGATGTATTAGTATGTTATTGTTGCCACTATTACTGACAGAATCCTTAGATGTTTTCAAACTTCTATTTTCCATTGAAATAGTTCAACATATCCGCTTGTGAACACATTACTTTTAACATAAGCGAACACGACAAGTGTATATATTTATAGTCAGTTGACCCCCTTGAAAAACTTAGTGATTTATGATTTCTTTTTCAAAACAATTATTGCGCACTTGATCTTGTGTTGTCGTGTTGATAAAGAAGTTCTACCTAATGGATTACTAATTTACGCTAGATTAGAGATATATGGATTTAGATGTGCTGTTTTTTGTTGGTAGTCATGTTAGTTTATTGCGAAGATGTAAGTGATGTGCAAATTTTCTGATTGAGTATCATTCTGTGTAATTTCCACTGACATCGATTCTTACAGCTTTCAAAATGAAGTCATATTACTTCTTCTGTGTATGTGTTGAGACATTATGTTTGATTATTAACTAGTTCAACTGAATGTTATTAAAAAAATTGTAAAACACAATCTTGCATTCACCTGGTGTTGTTTACTTGTATCGTCCCTGGTACATCGAACTAACGAGTCCAAAATAGCACGAAACCCTCATCCTGGATTCCACTGCTAGCCACTATCCGTCTTCACGATTTTACATATTCAAAAACTAGTTATTCTGAAGAAAAAAACCAACCACAAAAGGTTATTTCATTAAGCTTTCCATATTCCTGAATAATCTCAAGTGAAATACCATTGAAAATCAGTGATAAAACACATTCCCAGTAGAATCAAATTATGATCCTTTGATAAAATTTTAATAAATTCTACACTTCTCTTTAATATATTTAGACTGTTTACACTGATACTTCTTTACCTTTTTCTAAATATGTTTCATTATCCAGAGATTACAATTGATGATCTAACTGTAATTGAATTGTACAATGTTGGTGTTTTATTAAACATACAATTTATTCAAGATGCATGTATTAACTATTTGAAAACAAGTTTAAATGAGAATAATTGTTTAATATTCATGAGACAAAATAATAATGTAAATAATTGTGAAGCAAATCAGTTAACTAATGAATGTATTAAACATGCAGCAAAACATTTTGAGTAAGTATACAAGTAAACTTAGATAATCTGAAACATTAACTATTAACATAAAATGTTATAAATGGTAAGACTATAATTTATGGATGAAACAATTCATGTATAAGATAACAAATCTTAGATTTTAACGTGGAATTCATTCATCCATTTGGATAAATAAAGTTTTGGCATTATAGCTGATGTCAGTGTGTGATGAGAAGCTTAAATACAATTTCTAATCTTAATCATCAACTGTAAATCATAATTATAATTCCTCACACAGGTTTATAACCCTCATTTAGTAGCAGACACTCTCAAGGTCAGTCTAGTGTCACTCAAAGGTATTTCATAAATTATAGTCTCACCAAATGTTGCAAAGTGTATCAATTTTGACAATAATAAACTCCTAATGTATATATTATTAGACCAGATAATCTCGTATTTTGATAAATAAGGATTCTCGAATTGTTAGGAACAAATAGACCAAATAATAGTGAGTAAGAACAAGATAAAAAACATTAAGTCTATCGATATATCATTTGACTGACTATTACCTTATAACAGTAATTAAAGAGTTTAATTTTCTGTTCGAGCAAGCTGTTGACTGAATTTGGTAAAATATCATGGGATATAAAGTATCATAGAAGCGTGAAGTAAAACAGTGCTTGGCTGTTTTATGTTAAAAAAATACAGGTATTAAGCACTTTACTATAGAGTAATCACTTCTTGAATTTTTATAAAAATGCTAACTCTGCACAGTAATAATTAACAAATAATGTGCGAACCACCGGACATTGATTCACTGATTAAAATGTCAACTTATTATATTGTGCCACGAAGAAAGTGTATTGGACCCCTAATACAGTAGTGGATGTGTGTTGACGTGGAGTCCGATTCTAAGAATCAATGGCCTACCAAATATCAGTTTTTGATGTAACCCAAAATATGTTGGATGGTAACTACGTAGATAGGTTGAAGATATACTCCCTAAATACTATAATACTATGTATTGAAATAAAAAAACGTCATGAGCCATGAAGTATTAAGAAACAGGATCGAACTATTTAATTGTTTGGAGGTAAACCTTTTTCACTGACTGATGTTAGCCAATAAATGCTAAGAAATATAAAAAACATTTGGTACATCTCTACAGTGAACATTTACAAATGCATACGTAATGTAACGGGAATACTTTTAGGTTTCCCGGTGAATATAGTAACTTTAGATCATTTAGCTTGAGATTACTGAGTTATGTGTCAACTTTGATGAATTTATGATACTTCACGACGGTCATTCATTATTATTGATGACATCAATCTTAATCATGATATCAGTTAACCTTCAAGAATTAAATCAATAAATGATAAAACTTACAGTTAATTCTTGAATTATGTACGTGAATTAACAATTACTTATTACTTACTGGTTCTATGAAAACAAATAAAAACCTGAGAAAATACGTAAATTATACGTAGAAAAAAAAAAAACAAATGAAAAACACTATTGATTTTTATGATATTTTATTTTGATAATTTGTGATACTAAGTTTATTTAGTCACTTAGCCATTTGCTATATGGAGGTTAATTGAAACTAAAATCAATAGTTTGTATTTAATTGAAAAGAAAGAAAATATAATTTTGACCATACTCATTATATTGTTATTTATTTTAATGTAGAATTTGCTAAGTTCAAATGAATATGTAGTCACATATTTGATTTCTATGTTTATAGCAAAAACAAGTCTGAAGTCCACAATTCGTGTATCCAGTTAGCAGATATATGTATAAGGCTGGATTATGTAAGGAAATACAGACGACCAATAAGCGTATAATAAATCCTGATACTATGTTATATAATTCAGATGATAATAAATAACACAAAATTATAAGCGAAGGAAGGAGTCTAGAACTAACTAGTTAAATATCAGAGGGGGTTTTGTCGATATTATAGTATATTATTATCATAGTTGAGATCACGAATCAATTGAAGCTAGACCACCATGGAAGACCTGGAAGCACTGGACGGTTGTTTCGCCCTACCGTGGGACTCCTCAGTAGAGTGAATCCACGATCAAATTATAATGTGAATAAAGTAAGATAACTGAAAAGTTCGTATTATAATAATTAAGGCGTTAGAAGAATCGAAAAAAATCATACTGGATATGGCTATTAATAAAATTTAAAAGGACAAGAGCAGATGGATACACTTTTAAGTATACACTTAGTCAAATGAAAATAATCATGGGGTAAGACTATATTAAGGACAAGTTCAAAATAAATTTCTTTTATACATGAATGTTCAGACTTGTTCTGATGGTTATCTAAAGTTTCTGTTACTTAACAAAGTTAGTAGATTTGGACGAATTCTATAAATAGGCTAGTTGAGTAGTTACAGTCAAGGATGAAACTTCTAATCGCTCACTTCTCATTTATTATAAAAACCAAGCTGAAACCTATTAGCAAATTTGTGTTGAATCATAATATTCCAATACTTTCTTCAGATTAATTCATACAGTTGCATCATTTTGTCGAAAATTTTTATTTGACTAAAAATAATTAATTATGTTAGTGAGAAATAAAACTCGATTACTTTAGTCTACTTATATAACAAAACAAGTTTTTACATTTCATCGTAGACTGATTTTGCATAAAGTTTTTGGCTTTTTATGAAGTGTTCTTTAAAATAACATACTTCTACGTAAAGTTATTTACCTTCATCGTATTCACTGTTTCTTTTCTTTCTCTTTTTTTTATCTTTGAAGCAAAATGTTAGATAATCATGAGACTATGAACATTGAACCTAAAGAACTATTAGCAATACTAGAACAAGATGACTTCAAAGTTCAAGATGAATGGAAACTTCTGGAATTTATACATATATGGATTAAAAAGGATTATGACAATCGTCACACATATAAAGAACAACTATGTGAGCATATACGTTTTCAATTGATAGACACAATGAAGTTACTTGATATATTAGAAAATCAAGAGATGAATATATTTCATTCATATGTAAAAAACGCGCTTATTGATTTAGGTCAGTTATCAAGGTCAGTAGCAATAGCCAAATGGAATCGTAAAGTTAGTAAGGTAAAATTATCAATGTGTATTTTACACTTCTTGCAATATTCAACTAGTTCTTCTTTTTAAATAAGCAATATTAAGCAAATGTTTATATTTCAGTGGAGTTGGCATTTTCGCACAGCACTTCAGTGCTATTAGATATATATAATAATCAAGATTACATAATATTCATTTAAGTAAATTGTTTGTATATAATAAACTGTTCATTGCTATCATGGAAAATTCATTAGCAACAAGTTAACTTATTTAAACAATGTCAGCAAAACACTTCAAATGTGAAAATTCTATCAAAGTTTATTCGTAAGTACCTATAAGTTAGGAACAGTGTAGTGTAATAAAAGTTGTGATCAATATACTACCAAAATTTTAAAAGCTCTATCCCTGAGAAATAAAGATACCAAGACCAATCGATGTTTGGGGGCGGGTGAGCACCGTTAAAGAGTTCTATACTAAGACGACCTAGATGTCCACTGTTTCTTGTTTTCCATTGGTTATCTAACTAAAGTCAGACTTTAGTGTTAAACGATAAAAACTCACTAATCTTTAAGATTTTAAATATCAGTGAGGATAATTATATTTGCTAATACCACCGTTGAAAAATGTTTTTCATCTCATAAGTCTAACTGTCTTGTAATTAAGTCAGGACTTTGAAGTTTAACGGCCAGTCTTACATCATTCATCCAGTGAAGTGTTATCCGATGGTTCAAATATATAGTAGTGATTAGTCAGGTTTGAAGTGAACCAGCTATCCACCTATCATATTCGTTGAGAAGCGCATTATATCACGAATTATCAGATGACAATTGTAAACCACTCGATACTAACTAGTTAATTCCGTAAGTCTGAGTCTATGTGAGGTTATGAGTGTTCATTTTTAACTCGTCATAAACTAGGGTAAAATTATTGCTCAATATTATCATTAAGCAAACGGAATATACCCCTTAAGACGTAAAACAGGAAAAATTGATTCAGTGAAGTGTTTTCTTCCCGGAGAAGTCGTGTTCAAAAGCTGTACAATCGCAAATATATACTTCTGTTTCAAAATGATAATAATTACAGTAATAGTGATAATAAAATTCTATTAAACATGGTAACAGTGAGGTAGAATAAACAAAAGTGATATAACGTTCTTTTTACCAAAGAAACTAATCATAATTTTGTTGTTGAGTGTTTGAATATTCATCATGAAGATAAGTAAATAAATTCTAACTGGGAATGGAAGGCTAAGCATGACAAGATAATCTGTTAAAATTGAGATGAACTGTAATCATGAGAATCATACACACAGAAATAAACCTGTTGGGGGTAAAAAGTCTATAGAGACCTCTATAACATTTTATTGCCTTTGTTTATTCTAACTCACTGTTACCATGTTTAATAGAATTTTATTATCGCTATTACTGTAATTATTATCATTTTGAAACAGAAGTATATATTTGCGATTGTACAGCTTCTGAACACGAATTCTCCGAGGACAGAACTCTTCACAGAACCAATCTTATGTCGCAATAATATTATGTTACTAAAAGATCTTCAAATGATGTTACTTTGACATGAAAAGTAAATTAAATTAATATAACATCTATTCAAGTAAGAATCTACTTATATACATATGAATGACTAGTGATATAATTTACATCATACATATTTTTCAGTCAAATCATTCTATAGACAAAGAGTCGACGTTGACTAATCTACCGGTATGCGATTTGAATAGTGACTCGCCAAAACAAACTACAGAAAATGTAAGTCATTTTTGAGTACATTTTAACATTCTTATACTGACCAAACCACTTTGTTTTTCTTTAAGTATTCAAAGTATTTAAGGCATCTACTTCCAATTTAGTTATTCTATCTAATATTATTGTTTAACGAAGTTTTGTTTAAACATATAGATAACTTGTTATAGGGTTAATAAATGAAAGTTAATCAAATCACCTGATTCGTTGTATTTCCAATTATGTTCTTAGGAATATAACATAGTTATTAGACTTTAACAATGAGTGACAGTTGTCAACAGATATATTCCCGGAGTAACTGACTATAATTCAACCAAATCGAATAATCAAACATGTTAATTCATGACTTATAAAGTATTTAATTCTAAATTCATAAGATCGTTATGACCAAGACATAAATGAATCGATCTGTCATCACAAGATGTTTCTTATGCAATTAAATAAATTGATTAAAATTCAGTTGCATTTCGATCAGAATTCGTTAGAAGATAAACGGAACTGTTAAAAATGTGTTAATTTAAATATGTGCTTTGTGGACAAAAGTAATATTGGGTTCTGATCGCTATAAATTAGTACAAATGAAAGAATCCTAAAATAAGCACTTTTGAAGTGATGTAGAAAATCAATGACGGCTTCCCAATGAATAATCATAATATATTTCCAACAAAGCGGGTACACACCATTTTTACAAGTATGATGAGGTTTCCAATAAGTGTTTACAGATAGAGTGGATGCCCAACAGAGTTGTTAAGATGTAGCATTCAGAAATCAGCAATGATTTACAGGATAGTGTTCAAGGAGGTTTACTTGAAAATTATTTGTATAGTAGAACTGTTTGATAAGTTTACAGTAATGATTGAAAGGCACTTAGTATAAGTTGTGACCATGAAGAACACGTACGTAAGGTTTGTGTATCGGGCGTAAGAATCTCCATAGCTGTGCACTACAAATGAGGTACGGAAAAGAAGAGAATAAAGAGCATCAAGTCTATTGGGTACAGGACCTTAACAATTCTTAACCATTTGAAGTATGGCAAAAGTCATTCAATTTGAAGGACTCAACACCATCATCGTCATCATCATGGTGTTCATTTGAGAATTTTATCGATAGATAATTATTAACAGTATTGTGCATTAATTGTTATTTTTTTCAATGGTTGAGATCATGAATCAATTGAAGCTAGACCACAATGGAAAACCTGGAAGCACTGGACGTCCGTTTCGTCCTATTGTTTTCCATGGTGGTCTAGCTTCAACTGACTCATGATCTCAACCATTGAAATTATTATAATATCCACAAAAAACCCTTCTGATGTTATTTTGTTTTTAAAAAGAAATATTTCTTGTTACTTCAGACATCTTTGATATGCTTTGGTGGACGATTATGTAACAAAAGTTTCTCATCAAATATAACATGTTATAAAATTTTTGAAATGAGATCATTTATTAATCAGAATGAAAATTTATGCCTGGATCCATATCAAAATTATAATATTGATGAAAATTATGCAAATAATAATTATATGGAATCATGTACATTTCCTTATTTAAAACAAATAATTTTACCAAATTTAAAAACTATGCCTTCTTTAAGAAAAGGTTTTGGGGCTATCAATTTAAATGATAAAATTTATCTTGTTGGTGGAAAACCCAAATGTTCAATGAAAACATCTAATATTTACGATATTTCATTAGGTTTATGGTCTAGTGGACCAAATTTAAATATTGGACGAAGTTGGTATTCAATTACGGAATGTGATGGTGTGATGTATGCTATAGGAGGTGTCGGAGAAGACGGTAAGCGTTTTTTTAATAATTTAAGTGAATAAGGATGTATGTAGGTGTTAAAATTAACTATGTAGGTTTCTAAATATTACCTAACGATTTGAGTTTCAGACAGATATTATTAATAGAGGTGGGTGATGTTCGAACAATATCTTGAATTCAATTAAGTTTGAAGTATAAAGCTCGAGGTATAGACGTCATAGTATAGAAGTAACATGATCTCTACAGGGCCTGAAAGTCATAGATTTGATTCCTTATGGGGTTTTGTGTGCAAAATGGTGAGAAGTTTTAATTTAAGAAGGAACCACTCTCCACTGTCTCATAATTCTATATGATTGTCTAGCTAAGATCAATCTATAGTATTAACTACAGGTGTTGTTCAGTTAGGTCACAAAACATTTCTCTACCACCGTTTTAAATCGACCAGTTGAGTACAATCCTGACTAGAAATTCAAAACGCTCATTGCCAGCATTTTGATTCATTTGTTTCTTTTTATCTTTACAGATCAAAATTTATCATCCGTTGAGATGTTGGACCCACGAGTAAATAAGTGGGAATCATGTTCGTTAATGTTGAGACCACGATTTGGTTGTAGCGTTTGCTCTACCAATAATGAAATTATAGTTGTTGGTGGGGTCAGCGATTCAACTATCGAGATGTATGATATTACGTCAGGAAAATGGCAGTTTTTAGCGAAAATGACTGAAGTGTAAGTATTCACGATCATTTTGTTAGCACAAATCTTATTATACCAAAGTAAGATGAACAAAGTTTTTTCAAATTGTTTCATTGTAGAGTTATTACAGTAGATCTCTGAAGTAGTAGCTTACTTTATTTTTCTAATCATTATATTGCTTTTCGGGTTGTCTTTAGTAGTAAGTTAAAGCTGGAGAACGCTTTAGGTTTATAACGATACCAGCCGCCAAACTACTAAACTTTTGAGAGCAGAAAACTCCACAGGACCACATGCATCTGGAACAGAATTTTATAATTTATTCCCAGCTCTGTAAGGTGGAACCTGATACACAATTTTTTAGCCTAGTTAATTAGTCGTGTAAGGCTAGTTATGGTGTTGGAGACAGTTGTTTCACTCCCCACTTGGTTGAACCCCATCAGTCAAGCTTTCTCTCTAGAAAGTCTAAAGCTCCAGTGTGTCTAGAGCTAGGAAATCACCTAACATAGTTCATTATCATATTTAAGGGTAAGCATTTTCTCACTGTTGATTTTCAGGAATACATCTTATCGATATCTGATAACACGTGGACATGGTGTGTGAATACAGCGATGTTGCCTATAGCCGTAAATTGATTTCAATCTGCAAAGTTATTTGTAATGAAATATATTAACACAGTAATGCTAACAATCTTTCCCGAGTTTTATAATACAACCTAAAAGACATAACCCCAAACATGATTGCTTCAACAGTGCAATATATTTTGATTATGGTGGTACAGAATAAATTCCCATTAACCATTTTGTATATGTTCATTTGATGAAGAATGAGAATCATTACAAATCATCGTTTTTCACCACAAATTAATCATTTACTGTAGTTTAATGTCATCTTTTACCGTTTTAAATGTGAGAAAGTTATTATTCTTTTAAGTTGAAATCCATAATAATTCGATAATGTCCGTAAAGAACGTACTGTATATTCACTCAAAGATACACTCTGTTTGGATATGAACCTTAGAAAACCATATTTTTAAAACAGAAACTTTATCAAAACATAATTCACTCGGAAATAAATATATGATTTATTGTATTGCATTTAGATATTTACTTCAAAATACTGTCCAGATGATAAAATTTTGTTCTTTTTAAATACAGTCAATCTGTTAGTCATCTGGATAATTAATGGTTTGCACAAAAGTTGTCCACTGATGAAATGGGTGCTTACAAATTCAAGTAGTTGGATGATAAAATCATCATCAATAGATATGAAGTTTGTCAGGTCATTTGATAAGTGTCAAAGTATTCTCTCTTAATTCGCTGAATAACATATGAGATGTTACATTTATTAATCAAAAAATGGGTAGGTAGTCAGAAATATACGTATTAAATGACTGGGTTGTAAAGATTCCTATGTATTCTCACATTTCCTCTACCTTGGTCTCCATAAACTGAAAAAGTACGAATAAGGTATTATCTGTATTGTTTTTCTGTTTGGGGTTGTGGAGATCATTGAATTTAATTCAAATGTTAGACAACCATTGAAAATATGGAAGCAGTGAACGACCATTTCGTCCTCGTATGGGACTCCACAGCACTGCGCATCCACGATTCCGTACTCGAGACTCAAACCCAAGACATCCGGTTTCACGTCTTCGCTTAACCTCAAGGCATAAACACTATTCGATACCGACCAGGTAATCAGCGAGACCAAAGGTCTTGGGTTTGAATCTCGAGTACAAAACCATGGAGGAGCACTGCTGGTGAATCCCACACTAGGAAAAACGGCCGTCCAGTGCCTCCAGGTTTTTAGTGGTGGTCTAACATTGGCCGATTCATGATTTCGATGAAATATTATTTTTGACCAACCTTACTACTTTTAGACTTTTGTAAGTAACCAAAGTCTAATCTTATACTGTTTTCAAATTGCATTAGACAAAAAGCATAAATTCTAAAAATATAGACATATAGTTTACAACTATTCTCTGAATTGATAGTCTTATATGACAAGAAGTACGTTTTCCTCATCAAATTTTACGAAAATGAACCTCGTCTGTAGTTTTGTATGAACTGCAAAACAATTGAAAAATAACTAAAGAGAACTGATAAGTTAGTTCCTTTTAGATTATTTAAAACTCTCAGCTGTATTGACCCGTAACCTATGCATTTGGTAAACCTAAGGCTCACAGGAATGGTGGAGTATTTATCAATCTTTTATATCAAACGTTAATTAATTATTCATATTAAATGAAAGTCATGTTTTTCTCAGTCTATTTTAATTTTGATAGACAGTTTGGTTAGAACCTATTTTATTAAGATAAATGTGTGTTTAATAATTCAAGTGTATGGAAGAATATAAGATAAAAAACTGGAATTATTACAACCAAGGGTTACGTGTAAAATTAAAGTCAAATTAGATCAAAAGTCATTATTTAAACATGAATAATTAAGGAAATGTTTTATATTGTTTCAATGCTTAAGTTTAGCAAGCATATATATGCAACAATTAGAAATCTTAAACAGAATTGGATAATGGGGTCTAGGATGCTTGTTTTGTTCTATTTGAAACTCGTCAACCAAATATCTTTGAGCCCGTGTTGATGTTTACACATGGACCCGTATCCAGTTACTCTCACTTTAAACTCCAAATACTGAATTTCACCAGCTATTGGCTCGTGCAACAGCGATAAATTTTAAGTCAGTTATCAAGGGTGCTTTAATCTTCCCGTCATTGATGTTAAGAACTGTAAATGATCAGTCTTTCTTGGCATAAGTACATCCTAAGAGAATTGTCTCAGCACTGTCATTAAGTCATAAAGGTTTTTAGCAGAGTTAACAATTGTTGAAACGAAAACAATAAAGAGATATAATGATTACGTTTCTAGGTAAAATTGAAACAGCGTTACCATCGTGATATAATTCTAATGAACAATCGCTAATATGAATAAAAAGTGACAAACTTGTGCTTTGTAATAAATTATTTTTTTACCGCCTACTTGAAATCATAATTATAGTGATACTATATGTTTTCATGAAAATTTTGTAATCTGTGTCATTTTCTTTGAGATTCATTTACTTATACCATACTACACTAAATAGGCACTAAAACATAGTTCAATGTTAATGGGAAGTAATTGTTTAAAATATTAATATTTCTGATTGGGCTTCATTTCATATTGATTATTGATTAATAGGTGATTCACTAAAATAAGTGATTGCTGCTGAAGAGACAGATGTAATACCAAATATCATATGGAAATTACTTCAGGTTTTGATGAATGTCGGAGTGATTATAGGACAACCATAAATTTAATAGTATATTTATCGGTCAGTTTATAGGCTGTATCATAATTATTACGGGTTATAGATAATACATGTTGCTTACATGATGAATGAAGTTCTAGTTAAACAGTAGTTGTTTATAAAGATTTCACGGAATATCTGATCGCAACATGTAACACTATTAAGGTTTAATTTATTATCTTGCGATCAATTCATGATTACATACGAATTATCTTTTATTGTAACGTCACACATATCTACACGTGACTTGCAGACTGAAATTAAACAAACTATAAAATTAGATCAATCACTGAGCTCAGAATGAAGTATTGTCCACAAGTAAGATAAACAATATAAATTGATTTGTGACTGTTTCATTAATAATGTTTATATACTGATGTGAAATTATTTCATTATATTGATATTTGTCGGAATTTATACAGCATTTTAGTTGCTTCCCGAGTCCATGTAGCTGTATATGTTTAAATTCGAGAAGTTTTCACAACAAACGCCATGGCATTTGAACTGAATGGTACTGGGTTCCAGTCCCAGAATGGACATCAACATCCGGCTGACGAGTCCCGAATATGGCGAAACGCACATCCTAGATTTCACTGCTAGCCACCATACATATTTGTTTACAATGCTTGAGACACATTTTTTTGTCTTTATTTCTCGTCGTTATGTGGCGAAAATGACTCTTGTATCTAACAAATACTGTATATAATTCATTCAAGTTAAGGTATGCAGAGATTAACGAATTTTATAGTTTACAACATCATCATCATCAATACTTACTATTATTCTTGTTTCCATGCGTTTTAGACGTGAAGCTTCAAGTGTTTTTGTTCATAATGATTGTGTATACGTATGCGGTGGAGCTAATGAAACTGGTTGTGTAAATACCACAGATATATTTTCGTTGAAAACTACAATTTGGAGTAAAGGCAAACCAATGATTTTACATCGGGCATTTGCTGGTAATATATTTTTACTGTCAATTAATATTAATCTAATATCTCATTGAATAAAATACAATTTGTTCTTTAAGAACGCATAAGTTTTACACTGCAAAATAATGCTCAACAGTTGCTAACTCTAGGAGTACTAGGTTTTTAGGTCGTTGTACCGAAATCAAAAATCTTTTATGGCATATTATTATTTGTATTTATTGTCTAGAAAAACATTCGTAATTATGCCTTATTCAGGTTGAAAGTCGTCAGATGACACCGAATGAATTAAACTCGATTCATTTTAATTATTTACATTTACTTTTAATCAAATTATCAAATCAACTGTTTCTTATGTAATAACGATCGGTCAACAAACAAGCCTGATATAAATTGTTTTATCATATAAACTGAATTAGAAATAGTTTTTAATGAGAAAAATCCTAAAATGAAGAATTTTATAAAATGTACTGATTAACTATGGGTGACCTGGATATTCTAAACATTAATGTCTAATCTTTCATATGTATTAATATAGTTTGGAGCTTCATAGTGATCATTTCACACTGAAGATAACAGACTGATCTGAGTTGAAAAACCATTAGGAATCGAGATGAATTGAGAGGGACGTTTCATCCTAACTTGCTACTGATCATCAGCACGTGCCTATGACCTTGAACGATTTTGTATTTAGTTTATCTCAAGAACAGGGAATATTAACAACAAGTAGATTAAAAAGAACTTACTTTTCTAGTTTTGTAGAGAGATGCTTTGAAGAAAAACCTCAAATTAGATTTATCACTGTTTAGTTTGACAAATTAATCAGAAACGACAGATTATAACAGTAAAGTTTGTATCAACAATTAGTATTCTGTCTACAAGGTTTCCTAATTTTTTAAATGTCAAATCAAGTAGTGGAGATTTGTAGTTCAGGTGGAGTTTTGTTCTCTGAGCTAGATGATCTGGTCGTGGAGCTTCAGGTAAAAGCCTGATGTTTGTGCTGATAATGTCGTTCAGAAAAACAATGAGAGTTCCACGGCCAAACCATACACTTCAGAGAACAAAACTTCATCAATAAAATTAAATCTTAAAACTTAAGGATTTATATTTAATGTTTTCTTTTCCGTTGAATAATTAGCTACACGTATATGGAATGATTATATCTTTTTAATTGGTGGTCGTAACAATATGGAACCATCAAATTTAATTCAAACTTACAATTTAAAAACAAGTGAATGGGCGGTTTTACCACAAACATTACCATATCTTGTTTCAAATTGTTGTGCTATAACCACCAGTTTATTATAAACCATAAATTTTTTGAATGTTTAAAGTTCAGAAAATGAACTGAAACTTTATTATTAATGTGTGATTTTGTATTTAAAAAAAGACAAAAATTTAACTTTGTATTCATATCTAGTTGTAATATAATTTTCAATAATTAATATGGTTACACATTACCCATACTGAAAGGGGTATCATGTAGTAATGTGTATCGATTTTCACTGTGTCATATGATTGGCTGACTGACAAATATGTAATGAAGAAGAAATAATTTCATGCCAAATTAATGGTGTTTCATAGATAGCTGAAGGATCTAATGGTTGAACGTTTAATTTATTAGAAATGTTTGGAGTCGCTACAAATCACTATCTATTAGACTGTCTTAGAATGACTGATGTCTACTGTCGACTGATATCAGTGATTAAAATAATATATTTCATTTATGTGTGTATATGATAAAGCTTGTAATGGCTGGTACTATGTCAAGCACACATAGGTTATTTTAGCTTCTGGCCAGACCAATTTATTCATTCTTCTCAAGCCATATTTTGACATCGTCAATAATTCACTTATTAGCCTTGAATTTTTATATGATCGTATGTCTTTTAATTCCTCAGCCTATTCATTATGTGTTTGCAACTTATTTTGTTTGAATATAAATATTGAGTCACGCTTTATCAAAACGAGTTGGTTCATTCGCTTTCTCCAACGCGCGTAATTTCGTTCAGTTTCTCTGATTGTCTTTCTGGATGGATTAGTGTATGACATATGCACGTATTGGAAGTCTATTCTCGTATTTGAATTATTTAATCCCATTATTAACCAACGTGATTTAAGTGGATGATTATATACAACGGTAGCCAGGATGTATCTTTTAATAGTAATCATTTGATATAACTGGGGTCAGATATTGGGCCATTAAATGCCATATTAAAAGATTGTTTTTATTTATTATTACAGTTGTAACGAATGTAGATAATCTACTATGTAATGATTTGACCACCTTAAATTAGGCAATTTTGTCTCCATAGGTAACCTGCTCTTATAAGAACTTTGGTGAGTCTATTTTGAAGCCATTTATGTGTACCTTGGAGTTGTTAAATTTTTACACAAGCTCTACATAGATAAAAGATGTTTTAAAACTGCTTTTCTTAACATGTTTGTACTTTCCGAACAGCTCCGGTTTTATTTTCACTCAAGTCATTCTTATTTTGGCCAAGATTTGATGAATGTGTAGGCTGTTCGACAGGAATCATTATATATTTTCATTATTGTTGAATATTAAACAAAAGTCATACCCAAAAAATATTGAGAGCACTCGTTCCATATACTGTAAGTTTAAATAAACTACTCGTCATAAAGCTTATGAAAATTAGAAATGACTGGAACTTAAATTCCATTTGACGACTTGTTTCAATTATTTGAATGAGGAAGTGTTACAAAGTATCATGGTGAAGTTTACAATGTTCGCTAAACTGCATTCATTGTTTAGGTTCTCGAAATTAATCCGACAGAAAATCATCTCCAAACTTTATTCGAACCATCAAGGCTATACATGGCTATTGAACGACTCAACAGAGGGAGTTTCTTTCTAACATTTTTTTACTTTCACGATTTAATCATACATGAACATACTGCCTGAAACGTCTAATCTATTCACCATTTAGTGTTTTTGTCATTAGTGTATTCAATAAAAGCTCTACATTAATATTCAGCCAGTTAGTTTGCTTAGCTGAAAATTATGTCCTTTATTAGGAAATCTCATTTTCTGACAATCTACGTTTATAATACATGGACTAAAATTAGACTAAAAGAGTCTGAAGGTGACTCCATTTTAGAATTCCTATCACTTAATTGCTCACAAATACTATCTATTTCGCTCCATATATTACCTATGCTAATGGATCTTTATGTGGAGCTCGTTAGTAAACTAGATACTGAGTCATCCAGCGGCATATGTGGTGTAAGTACGATCCTAACATAGTCTGTTGCAAAGGTAGTTGAACTGGCATGGCATAAAGTTTATAACAGAGGTGTTTTTACTCGAAGTATCAGGACTCCTCCGGGCTCGTTTTTTCGATAGGCCATCCATCTTAATATTAATGATAATCCTAATGTCTATGTATATGCCATATACCAGGACTAAAAAATAACCATATACTTTTATATCAGAAGCCGTATTTATTGTAACGCAAAGATCAAACGTACCGCTTATTAATCAATATCTTATCATCCATTAATTATCATTGGAAAACACATATTAACTATTTTAAAGCTTTTTTTCTATATTCAGATAGGTAACGATAAATATTGTTTAACTAATCTCGCCCAAAGGTGTAATATTTTTAGACAAATAAATTTTTTCTTGATTTACCTAAACACTTTCTTTTATATAATAATATCATTAAGTAATGTATCCATTTAATATAAGCGAATTATGCCAATAATTTTGTCCATTATTATAGATATAAATCATAAATAATATTAACATTATTTAAGAATGAATTTATAATCAGTCATGAATGGGAACTACAGAAGTGGTTGTAATTATGTACAGACAATAATAAACATTAGACTATGTCGAGACTATAATTTATGGACGAGCCAATCAGATAAGAGATAACTGGTCTGGAATTTGGGTGCGATTTTCATTCCTCCATTTGAATACATTGAGTTTTGGCATTATAGCTGATGTTAGTTCGTGATGAAGACCCTAAATATAATTTCTAGCATTAACCATCAACTGTAAATCATAATTCTAATTCCTCACACTGGTTTATAACCGCCATTTGGTGGACACTCTCAAGGTCACTTCAGCGCCGCTTAAAGGTCATCCATAAATTATAGTCTCACCTAAACTATAGTGGATTTGCATGAAGTACAATTTTTCATTTAGTCAAAATAATTATTGATAAATTAATACAAACTAAAGAAACTAATCTGAAATGAAAAATTACTTATTCTAGAGAAGTTTTGTTTTTCCATGTTTTTAAAAAATGAGGTTTATTTTTTCCCCTTAAAGTACATTATCGGATAAATCATTAACATTATAAAAGAAATAGGCGGTATATTAAACTGAATTATTTTTATGGACTATTGTGTATATTTACATATAAGTTTATTAATATTTAGTAGTACTTATTTGTTTACATGGTTCAAAAAATACTTGTCACTTGACTTTTTTTCTTTCCATTATCAGGAAAAAAAGATTTATGTTTTGTTATGTAATATGTTATGAAAGCATTTGATGCGTAAATTTTTAGGGCACTAAGATTTGGTTACTTATTCTCTGAAGAAGTAACTTACACTAAATCACGAAACTTCAGAAAATTTAATTTTTCTATTCATTGGGGTATTACAAAAATATTATTTATTTATTTATAACAATCTATCCAATGCTCAATTTATTCGAAATTATCAAATCAAACCTTGGTAATGATACATGATTAATGATAAGTTGAGTAGTAACAGTTATTGAATAGGTATCTTCTTGATCCAAGTTAGGAATGTATACCGTTTTATGGTAACTTGATGATCACAAAGTTAGGCACTCATCATGAGGCCTAAGTGTCCTAGGTAGAATTTTTGTTGTCCCCTGCTGAATCCTGTACTAAAAAGAAACAACTACCCAGTGTTTCGTAGTTTTCAATGATACATATATTTGATATCAGTATGAACATTTGCAATTTATTCATTAAATGGATAACATTAATCATTTTAATATCTATTTTGTGTTCATTACAATCAAATATAAGCTCAAGAATGAAATACAAAAATTTACTGAATGACTATTCTGTTATCTTCCTTTCATTTATTTAGAAATTTGTAAACCATCCAGTACAGAACCTTGTGGTCTTTTCCATTTCAACCCATAACCAGTTATTTTTCTAGTCTGTAAGAATAAATTTTTTGGAATAGATCAGAAGTACTAGATATAATAATGAAAAGAATTGTATTTGAGTTCTAGAGATGAAGAAACTACAAAGCGAACCTTATTTTAAAGCCAATATAAAGAAAGGTAAAAATATCTAGCAACTCAGGACTCAGATCAATCAACAATTAATAAACATATTAAGACAAAACCAATAATATTTAGCATTAAGAAAATGATAAAAAGTTTGTAGTAAGTTCAGGAATCAATGAACAATCAAAATAAATGAATAGATATCGATAACCAAGGTGTTGTTGAAAGAAATTATTGTCGACAAAATGATCTGTTTGGTACTTATAAATAAACGGATTAGTCATTTTTTACCATTTGTACTGATACTATTTAGAAAAACAGTGAAATTTTTAGTGGTAGACTGTTATGCACAGGAAACCTGATCTCATTAAAAATGAATAACACTTCGTAACATTGTCAGTTATTTCAAAGTAATTATAAAGACTAACTTATGTTTGAGTTTAAGTCTATATTATTCCGAATGGAAACGAAAGACTTGAAAATAAGACCATATGGCTCAAAGAATATCACAATATTGTCAATGCGAAATAATGTGTTAGGGTGCTTTAGTTGAAATACGGTGAAAAACTAACTTCGATCAATCCATAATATTGCGATATTGGAAGACGGTCGCGTAATGTCATGGATTGGTTAAAGTTAGACATTGACATCGTTGAATGCCGACTCAGTGGTCGAGAGGTTAAGCGTTCGCGTGAGGTTGAGGTCCTTGGTTGGAGCCTCATGTGAGGGATCGTGGATGCG